TAATGCACAGTCTCTGATTCCAGCTGATAGAGATTCTGGCAGCACCGCTGGCAGCCAGATGTCAGCCCCGTAGTAACCAAGGGGGGGCCATTATAACCACTCCCCAAGCTGCCATCGACTTTTCTAAAGGAGAGCACCCCTAGAACGCAGGGAGCAAGCAGTCTGGTTGGCGGATGGTGAGTGGGGACAATCAGACCAGGACCAGGTGGGAGGAGAGAGGCTTGCCACACCTGTCTAGGGCTGGTTCGAATATGACACAAACAGGACCATCTAAGCACAAGACAGACGCACGAGTTGCCTTTGCTGGGCTTTTCCCATCTCCGCGGTCCTAAGAGGCCGCCAGGGCTCAGGGCCTGGGCCGGGGGCTGCGCGGGGACCGGAGGGGGCTGAAAGAGGCAGGGCTGTTCCTAGGGTGAGCCCCCAAATCTACACCAGTCCCTCTAGGTGAGCTGCTCGCCCTGAGTTGAGAGACTGAGGAAGGGCCTTCAAACCACAGCCTCCCAGCACCCCTCCAGGCATGTACCAGAAATATGGGATGTAGGAACCCTGGGAAAACGGGGCTCATTTCCCAGATGAGGGGGCCAAACCTAAGAGCATCGAAGCCGCTTTCCCCAATCACAAAAGTTGCCTCCCCAGCCCAGGGCACTTGAAATCCAAATCCGACCCCGGTGGATGCGGACTCAAAGCCACCAGGGGGGCCGAGTGGACCTTCAAGGAAAAGGCGGCGCCAAGTTTTGAGTTTCGGTCCTTAAACATCTTAATTCACTTATTCCTTCGAAAATCCCTGCGGAGATTCCAGCGGGGGTGGGGGTGGGCGTGGGGGTGACTCCTCTCGGGGGGGAGGAGGAGCGGCAGGTATGGTGGGAACAGGGCGGGGGGCGATTCCTCGTAGAGGGGTAGTTTGTGCAAAAGCTCTGCGGCGGGGCACGGCCCGGCACCCAAGCCCTCGTAACCCGTGTCCTCTCCCCCCGCAGTGCGGCCCGGTCCCGGAGGCCACGTGCAGCTGCGCATCTCCCGGGCCGCCCTCTCCGCGGGCCGCCTGGCCGCGCTCCGCCTGCACCGAGCCCTGCTCCGCCTGCCCCCCACGGCCT